TTAGGTTTTTAAATGTAGGTTATGAGTGAAATCAGTCAAAAAATTTGTGATTTGTTCTCTACTTGTCCAATTTTAACTTTATGTTTAGAGTAGCCTCATAAGATTATAAGGCTTCCTTCCTTCATGAAACAGTTTACATACAAAAGGAACTACCTTTACCATAAACATGTGATAAATTGTACTGGGAACCAGTAGTCTAAGTTTCTGTTGAAGGGAGATTTGCCTGAAACTTCAGTTTGAAATAGTTGGTACCTAGTCATTAGATTAGGTTCTCTGTTTTGAGTGAAATATCCATTTGATCAAAGTTTCCAAGTTCCTTGTTAATAAATGGTTTAACATATTCACCTGTGACTTTTAAAGTCTCTACAGTATCTGTAGTGGGTTTTGTTTTTCTTTTTTGAGAATTAAATCATTTCTTGATTACACATGATAATGGGTGATACACAAGCTTCATTCCCATCTATAATTTTATCTGATACTTTTATTCAATTTAGATATATTGCATAGGATGTGCCAACAATCATTTTTGTAACCAATAATTCCATGATTTTGCTTGGGTAATTTTTAGTGGAGAACTTCAGGTCACAACAGTAACTATCAGTTCAACTACACCAAGGTTTCTGAAGACAATGGCTTCTCCACCCAAGCAGGTTGTATATAAACTCCAAATAGAACCTGGCATCACCCTGAAGGAATTCTAACTTCACACTTTGGGGGAGATTTACCAAGATGGCTTCAGAGTAGACTAACTTTATACAACACATTTAAAGAATAAAACAGTTATTCAGCATTATGATCGGACTATTACATTTAGCGATCAATAGCATGAGTACAAAAAAAAATGTACATTAAAACTCTTTGTTGGAATGCTTTACACTTTCCACAGAACAGAAACTAAAATAACCTGTTATACAGTTAGTCACAAATACAATCCTTGAGTTTTTTAGCCCATACACATGAGTATTTGTCCAAAACATGTCTTCTTTGTAGCACTAGGCCCTGCCGCCACTGTGCTTGGCTGAGTTCACAAATCTCTTGTAACCTGTAGCTTCCCTGTCACTTCTCTGGCTCTCCTCTCCTGCTAAGCTTTGTTTCCTAATTAAAATCTTTTGCCACTGCCATGGCTACTGCTGCTCCTGGGACTGACTGCTCTAGCCACCTTTGCCAGGTTTCATGGCCTGGCAAAGTATTGGCCTCCACCACCGCAGGGGCCAGAGCTTCTGCCTCCAAAGTTTCCTCCCTTCATGGGTCCAGAATTTGAAGACTGATTATTGTAATTGCCAAAATCACTGTAGCTTCTACTACCTCCAAAATTGCTTCCATCATTACCAAATTCATTATAGGCATCCCCACGGCCACCATATCCACTACCACAGCTGCCACCAAAGCCACCATGACCACTAACATTTCCTTCATGATCAAAGTTGTCATTCCCACCGAAATCACCTCCACGACCACCACCAAAGTTTCCAGAACCACGGAGTCATGGTCATTAAAGGCCACAAAGGCAAAGCCCGTTTTCTTGCCACTGCCTCCATCTGTCAAGATTTCAATCGCTTCAGTTTTTCCATACTGTTCCAAATAATCTCCTACGTGTTGTTCTTCAGTGTCTTCTTTAATGCCACCAACAAATATCTTTTTCATAGTTAAGTGGGTACCTGATCTTTGAGAATCTTCTCTTGAGACAGCTCTTTGGTTCCATAACTCTTCCATTCACCTTGTGAGGCCTTGAATCCCTGGCCGCATCCACCTCTTCCACATAGCGACAAACCCAAAGCCCCTGGAGTGCTTGGTGTTTGGATCTCGTGACCACATAGTCCAGGAGCGTTCCCCATTGCTCAAAATGGCTCCTCAGGCCCTCATCGGTTGTTTGAAAGCTCAGCTCTCCAATGAAGCTCTTCCTCAGCTATTTGGGTTCTTTAGGAGACTCTGACTTAGACATAAGGGCAGACAGACGAGAGACTTTAACGATGCTTTTTCGGTGGCATCCATGGGCAGAAAGGAGTAAGCTGACCAATGTATCTTGTATCTGTAGTTTTGATGCCCTTTTCAATTCTTAAAAAAAAAAAAAGAATGATAAAGAAGATCCACAAAAGAACACATCAATGCAGTCAGCTCTCTGTATATGGAGTTTTCACATCTGTGGATTCTGCCAATCATAGATAAAAAATATTTGGGGGAAAACAATTTAAAAATACAACAATAAAAAATAGTAAAAATTTTAAAATATAACATTTACATTGTGTTAGGTATTAAGAGTAATCTAGAGATAATTTACAGAATACAACAGGATGTGCATAGATCAGATGCAAGTACTACACCATTTGATTTAAGGGACTGAGGATTTTGGTAGCTTTGGGGACCGTGGAACCAGTCCTCTTCAGATAATGAGGTACAACTTTATGCAGTTATCTGATAAAACTAGTAAAATAGTCATCCTTCTGTTAAGAAAAGAAAGAAGAAAACACAAATATTGTATGTAATTGAAGGTCCTTTCGTATTCTAAAATTCCACGATTCTATGATTGTGGGTTATCAAGTTCCTACCAGGTGGCTTTGCCTGTCTGGCTGCAGCCTCTTTGCCATTCCACATGGTTGCTAAACCACAGGACAATCCAGGGATGGAGGCAAGGCTCTGCGTCTCCCTCACCTTGTGTGTCCATTAGCTCATGCAGTTAGAGGAGAAAGCACCGCTCAATGCACTGATGTAATGTAGTCATTGCACACACCAGGCAGCTCTGTAATGCGCTCCTCAAGCCGCTAAAACATCTACAATATAACAGGGACTGTGCACAATAAAGAGATTCAGAGGAGGAAACAGAGATGCATACCCCACCCTCAAAAATGGCAGCCTCTCAGGAAGACAGCCATGATGTAATTACGCAGACAGTGAAAAGTGTCGTGCAAGGGAAGGATAGGGTGCAGTATCGGGATTGACAGAGTCTGTGAGGATCCCAAGTGAACAGGGTGGCTGAGGACCAGAAGTGGGGTAGGGAGGGTGGGAAGTGGTATGTGGAGGAAGCTGCTTAGTGTGTTTAAGAAACCCAGTAAGCTGGGCTGGCCTGAGCCTAGAGAATGTGGGAAAGAGGTAATCGCTTTTAGGCATTGGAGGCTTTCTCCTGGGGCATTGGGGAGCCACCAGATGGTTTTTATCACCACTGCTAGTTAAACACTTGATAGAAACTCTACATCTCAGTAACCATGATCTGTAGTTAGCCTCTTATTCCCCAAACAACATTATATTTCTCTGTTCAAAAAAGCAAAGGCCAGTAGTAGATATCCCATGTCTGATACCTACCTATTAGTGGATTAAATCCTTTCTTTTTTAGTTAAATCATTAAACTTATTATATTTGGAAATAGGCTCGTACTACTGTAAGTTGTCTGGGTTTTTCTTTTAACTGAATGGATTTTAAACTGTCTTTACCATAATGTGTATTTTAGTAATGTCTTGGGGGATGTGTTCTGGCTGACGGCATTACTATCACATGGACTGTTGTCCATGAATTGCTGACACATGTTTTATTGGGGCACCTTCTCCCATTTCTCTGTCATCATGCCTTGCATCAGAACTCAATAAGTATGTTAACTCAGCTTGCATTAATTGAAGAGGAGATTTCTTGCTAATTCTTGGCAATCTCAGTCTCTTCTCTCCCTAAAATTCCATTTTCCATAAAGGACAAAAGGATATTGCCAAAAGGAAAAGCAACCTGTGTAACCACCAAACTCCTGTCATCTATTGTTACATTAACCCCTGGGTCATTTATCAAAGCATCGTGACTTTAGGAGAGAAAACAGAATGCTTCTCAGGAGCCAGCATATTTTGTCGATAGTACCTAGATAGTAGCTTTATTGTGTTTGTATGAAATGTACACAAGATATACAAGTTTGTATATCTTTTCTCCTCTTGTTTTATTAGCCTCTTAGCAAATATCCTTTATTGTGTTTGTATGAAATGTTTCAAACTGATGCATTTGTTTTGAAAACTTTATTGATATTTCAAGTTGAATAATCATTCATGTTTGAGCATTTAGTTCTTCAGAGATTTTGCTATTTAAAAGTGTTATACTTTCTCTGATCAATGATTCACCAAAGGGTTTATAGTGATGTCAGGCTTGGCATATATCAGTTTGTAAATTTGCCCTTTTAAAAAAAAAGGTTTGGCTTTGTGAATTCCCTTAGAATTTCACAATTACGTAATGAAACTTTTTTAATTGCAGCAGTAACTTTTAGACCAAAACATACACACATACACACGTATATCTATGTATAATTGTGATGTATGTATGTGAGAATTATATATGTAGTTATATGTGTGTATGTATGTGTGTTTGTGTGTGAAAGCAATAAACATGGTAACTTCTAAACATATCTAATTTTAAATGTCTGTCTTATATAATGGTGAACTGCTGAGCTAGTAAGCCGGAAAAAATGGAATAAAGTGGGGGAAATGGCTACATTTATGTTTATCACATCCTTAAAGGCATCATTTGAAAAGTGATTCCCCAAGTGACTACTTACCAACCCAATCCTTTATTTTAATCATTAGAAATATTAACAAATAATGACATTACTAATTGAAATATCAATTTTGATAAGCTCTTATATCTCTACCAAAATGGCTTTCTGAAAGTATCACAAGAAGTTAATGAATTGCATGTTAATTAAATTTGAACTTTTCTCCTCTAATATTCTAATGGGAAAAGCTGAAATATGATATATTCAAATTGCTTTGTACCAAGTTGAACATTAATGGCAATATAAATATAATATATGGTAACGTTACACATGAATGTGATAAGAATCTGCAATATTCATAATGGAATTTGCTAATTTCGAATATTGATTTCTCTTTCAAGTTCATTTTGTTCTACAAATTTAAATGCTGAAATAATGTTTTACCAGCATTTCCTAATTAACCAAGTGAAACTTATAATGAAAAATTTAAATATTCTCATTCAGCTAACAAGTTTGTATATCTTTTCTCCTCTTGTTTTATTAGCCTCTTAGCAAATATCCTGCTCTGATAAATGATATTTCATTCTGGTTGCCCTCTGAGACTTACACAGAGAATGATTTCTATGACTTAGTCCGAACGATTGGAGGAGACCTGGTGGAAAAGGTTGATCTCATAGACAAGTTTGAACATCCAAAGTAAGTGAAAAGCTTTCTGATTTTACCCTTTACTGTCTCTATGTGATAAATGTCATAGGGAAGCATATCATAAAATTTTGCTGAAACCCAATGTATCTGAGACAAAATGTCTTCTGAATTTGTAGTGAATGTATAGCTTATCAGCAAACTCTTTGATACCGGTCCTCTCTGAAAATATTTCCAAGATGCATTTTCCATCTTTCCTACCTTAGTAAAGAAAATATACGAAACAGAATGTTTTAAGTCCTGCACGTTTTTCAGTATTGTTTGTGGAAGTGACTTCTTCCCTTAGCATGTTCCAGGTACAGAGGAAATGAGTCAGAAAGAGCAGTGTGTGTAGTAGAAGCTGTTTTGATAGGGTCTTAGCAAATATTTATTAAGCACTTACCACACACCAAGATCTATATTACGTCCTAGGAATTAAATGTGTTCCAGTCTTACCTTTGCCTTTTTGGAGCTTACAGTCTTGTGAGAGTAGCAGACATTAAATACATAATTACGAAAGTGTGCTATTATGAGGGAAAAATGCATTGGGTGTCATCAAAAACTAATTTCATGTGGGGAGTCAGGGCAGGCCTCTGAGATATGAAGCTGAGAGTAGAAAGACGATGTGTAGTGAAGAAAGAAGAAGGAGCATTCCAGCTAGCACATGAGAGTCCTGGGGGGCGGAGGGCACGTGAGATGCAGAAGGCCCCCAAGAACACCGCAGCTCAAGGAGGGGGAGGCCGTGTAAAGTGGTAATTGTTACGTAGTGGTGTGTTTCCAGGGCCAGGTGGGGCCAAAACCTGTAAGGTCTGAGACTTTGAATTTTACCCTAATTGTAGTGAAAAACCATAGAAGGATAGGAGCAGAGAGATTAAGTGATGTGATTTGATTTGTATTTCTGATTGGTCACCTTGAAATGGTCCCCTTTGACTCCTAGCTGTTAGAGAAGAAAGTCACCAAATCGTGTCTAACTCACACCTCCATTTTCCCTTCCCCTTCTAATTGTTTCAGGTATGTCCTACCTGCATTGTCAGGGCTCGTGGCTCCCACGTTCTATCCTGTCATTCAAACTCCCACCTGTTTCCTTCTTTGTCTTTTAAAGCATTCATTTTCTAGATAAAGGTGTTCAGTGTTCACTGCCAGTTCTTTTGCTTCACTTTCCCCAGTCATCTGGATAACTAAAGTTCATCATCCAGAATTTTGCTCAACTACTTGTGGAAGCAATAGTCCCTGAGTTCTTGCATGTTCAAAGCTGTTTATCTGTTTATACTTGAATGACAGTTTGGTTGGGAGTGAATCTTGGCTTGGTCTTTCTTTTAGGGAGGATCCTGTAAGTGCTGCTCAATTGTTTCCTCAAGTTTAATTTCATATAAAGAAATCTGATACCATACTTGATCTTTTTGCTAAAAAGCAAAAAAGGAATCCTTTAAAGGATTTCTTATCTTTCAAGTTTAATACCTTTATCAGGCCCACCTCCGTATTGATCTTTTCTCCCTAGTATATATCACTGTGCTTCACAGATTGGATTGGAGTCTTATTTATTTTAGGAAAGTTTTCTTGAATTTTATCTTTAGGGATTTGTTCCGATCCATTGTTCTGTTCTATTTCATTCTTCAGGGATCCAGTTATGCATAAGTCGGCTCTCCTTTATCTGAATTCTGTACCTATTATTTTCTTTCTAATGTTTCAAAATTCTGTCTTCCGCTCCATTTGGTATGCTCTCCCCATTGTTACCTTCTCTGTCCCTTCCTGTGTTTTCTGCTGTCTTTTCTCCCTTGTGCACCTTCCATCTGCAGTTACTTTGCTTTTCTCCCTGTTCTGAGTTTTGCAAGCTCACATTTCAGCTCCTCCTGTTTTTTCACTGTCTCTTCTCTAAGTAATTTCTACTTTCTGGTCTTCCGTCATAGGGAAATTGCTTTACTACATTTTAAAAATTCATTGTAAAATACTTAGCCAGAAATTTCATATGCTCCAATGGCAACATTTTTCTATGACTTTTCTGTTTCTCTGCCATTTTCCTCTTTTTTTCCCTCAATTCTTTTTTAATTGATCTGTCAGTGGTATACATATGATAGCCTTTTTGCCACTTATATTTTAATACACTGGGTTTTCTGGACCAGCTATTTGCACAAGATTGGCGGGGAGGCTGGGTCTTGGCATAGCAGGAAGGGGCTGGGGTAGACATTTAGCCTAGCTTGTTTTCACACTCTTAAGCCTTTCTTTTTCTCCACTGCCAATTCTTTCTTTAAACATGACTCATCTCTGATTTTTGGTATAGGTCTTCCTCCCACCCTAAATCCAACTTGTTAGAAATAGAAGAATTACCTTTGCTTACCCCATTATCAATACTTGGAGATAGAGACTTTACACTTCAGATTGTAACCCTTAGCTCTTAAAAAAAATGTTTTTGCTGGAGTTTTCTGAGATGTGCCTCTCTGTGTGTTTCTTCTCTTCACTTCCTCTCATTTGGCTTCTTTTGATTTCAGCTGCTGTTGGCAGCCTTTAAATATATTTTGGAGCTTGCAGATGATAGCTGTCTCCTAACTTAACAGAAAATAGAATATATGGGGTAGTCTGGATTCCTGATGCTGCAGAGTGCCAATTCAGCCCTGGACTTTTATGTGAGAAAGAAATTTCCAGGAGTTTCCATGTTGATACTGGAAGTCTAGTTATTTACATCTGAAGAGAGGAAAAAATATTGGAACAAGAGTGATTGCTAACTACCAATTGATATGCCAAAATCATGTGACTTGTAATTTTTTCCCATTCTTTTTTAGTACAAGTTGAGTCAGGTATCCCTTATCCAAAAAATGCCTGGGGCCAGAGTGTTTCAGAATTTGGATCTTCTCAGATGTTGGAATATTTGCATATATATAATGAGATATCTTGGGGATTTGACCCAAGTCTAAACACAAAATTTGTTTCGTATATACCTATACACGTATCCTGAAGGTAATTTTATGTAATTTCATACAACATTTATAATCATTTTGTGCATGAAATAAAGTTTGTGTATATTGAATAATCAGAAAACTTCAGATTTTGGAGCAGTTTGGACTTTGGATCTTCAGATTAGAGGTGCTCAAGCTACAGAAAACTCTGGAATCAGAGATTTGGAATTCATTCTTAATTTTTGACCTCATAGTCTCTTACTTTCTGATATGGTTGTAGCTTCACCCTTGCCAGTGTCAAAAGTGAGATAAGTAACCCCTTCTCATTGGAGATTTAAGAACCTACAAGGTTGCAGAGAGATGCCAAAAACCTAGGCTGCTGAGATAAATTTCTGTTGTGCTGGATGTGGGGGGTAGATGTCACTTGAGGAGGGGGTAGACATTGAATCTTTCTGATAATTTGGTAGTGATCAAGGGGATGCTGAATGGGCATGCTAACTGGAGAGATTGCAGTGGGAGTGTGGTAGCATCAGGGTCCTGTGGACCCAGGGACAGATCAGGCAGGCAGGCAGTCCATTAAAAAAAAATCACTGGACTGTTAGAAATACTCTTAATGCAGATATACACGCACAACCCCATATGGACTGCTAAAAAGTGAACGTATCCAGTTCCTTCTGAAGGAGACAGTACTTTTGACTAGAAATTTGAAAACATTTCTCACTGGCACCAATATGACAGTGTCTTAAATAGATGTTGTACAGATATTTAAAGACCATTTTTTGGAGCTATGCCAGAGGGCATGGCTGCCACGGTTATGTGCCCCTCTTAAAAAGGGACTTGGTGATTGGAGTAAGGTTCCTGTGGCAGAGATTGCTAGTTATCTCTCAATATTCAATTGCCCCCGTCCTTCCGCCAGCTGCCATTTTTGTAATAACATAACCTTGACTTTTTAGCTCAGCAACTTTCCACCCAACCAGAAGTCTATACTTCTAAGTTTGGTCAATGATTTTTAAGTAGAAGTGTTTCACGGTATTTCCAGAAGTTTCTTTAAAAGTTGAATTGACGATATTCTTTTTTCTCCCTGATACTTAGTTGTATCCGATGGCTAGTATTCTGGCAGCCATTCTGGGCCATGGTGCGGCCTGGGTGATGGAGACTGTCTGGAGTGGAGCAACAACATAAAAGAAATAGCCCAGGGCTTGACTCTGTGTCACTTCAGCCCTGGACTCTTAGATGAGAGAGAAGTACCTTGTTTAGGCCACTTATTTTTTAGATCTCATTATTGACAGCCAAAGCAAAACCTAGCTACAATAGTACTGGGAAAAATACCATCATTTAGTAATGATGGCTTACTGTGCCATGATCCTCAGTTACTATCTAGGGCAGAGGTTGACCAGATTGTGAATATTTCCGACTTTATGGATCATAAGATCTCTCTCATAACTACTGAAGTCTGCAATTGCAAAAGCAGGCGCAGATTAAAATATAAACAAATAAGTCTAGTTGTGTTCCAGTGAAGCTTTGACTACAATATCAGACAGTGGAATGTGAATTTGGCCCATGGGCTATAGGTTGCTAACCCTTGATTTATGGGAAGGAGATACATGGAGTTTTGTTTTTTTTTTTTAATGACTCTGACTCCCAAATTCCAAAACCCTCTACTAGGAGATCATCCTTTTTTGAGCACCCTGTGCCCACCCTCCCCATCTCGCCACCAAGTCCCTGACTTAGGTGATAAGAAGTAAATGGTCTCCTGACCTTGAACCTTGACTCCAAGATTTATTTTATTCCCTAAACACATAAATGAAATATAGCCAGATAGTGCAGAAGAGCTCTGACCCTTTCTTTGCCTAACGTCAAAGCATGCCTCGGTGTGAGACGTGACAGGACTGAGTGAAAGACAAGGTAGTTGAACATGTTGCACGTTATTTTCTGAATTAAAAACAGATCCCAGGATGCTTCAGGAGACATAAACTGCCAAAGAAGAGCCTGATTTCGTAATATTAGACAAATGGAGAAGTTTTTTCTTGATTATAAATAACAGCTTGTGTCCTGAAGGAGAATAGATGCTCAGGTTAGAAGAAAATGGTGCTTTGTCCTAGCCGGTCATTTAGAACCTTCTCC